AGAAAGAAAGGAAGGAAGATGGAGGGGAGGAGAAACAGACAAAAAAGAAAAAGAATAAAAGACATGTAGAGAGAGACGAAGAGATTGGGCAGAAAAAGAAAAGAAAGAGTGAAAGAGACAGAGAGAAAGAAACAGAGATGGAATGGAAAAAAGAAAGAAAGAGAGAGTGATGAGGTAGATAGAAACAAAGGAAGACAGACAAAGAAGCAGAGAGAGCAAAGGAGTAACAGAACATGGAGAGGGAAGAGAGAGAGAGAGAGAGAGAGAGAAAGAGAGAGAGAGAGAGAGAGAGAGAGAGAGAGAGGGAGAGAGAGAGAGAGGGAGAGAGAGAGAGAGAGGGAGATGACTAGTCCTGCGCCCTCTCTCGCCCTCCCTCTCGGTCTCTCACCTCTCCCACGGTGTGATGTGTGTTTATAGTTCAGTGGAAACAGCAGATCAGAATGAACCTCACAGACTCACACAGAGCCAGAATAACACCGCATCACCGTCAGCTCCACCGTCAGCTCCACACCACCGTCCCCCAACACATCCCCTCACAGCAGCTCCTGTCTGAGTCTGAGTCCGAGGTGGGTCTCTGAGGTGTAAGTCCGAGTCAAGTCTCTGAGGTCCGAGTCCAAGTGGAGTCTCTGGTGTGAGTCTTAGTCATGTCATGGGGGTGTGAGTCAGAGTGGAATCTCTGAGGTGTGAGTCTGAGTCAAGCCGTGATTCTCTGAGATGCAAGTCTGAGTCTCGAATCTCTGAGGTGCAAGTCTAAGTCTCGAGTCCCTAAGGTGCAAGTCCAAGTTGAGTCTCGAGTCTCTGAGGTGCAAGTCTAAGTCTCGAGTCCCTAAGGTGCAAGTCCAAGTTGAGTCTCGAGTCTCTGGCCCGCAACTTCGAGTCGAGTGTTGAGTGTCTAGGGTGCGAGTTAGAGTCCAGTTCTCTGAAATGTGAGTCTGAGTCGAGTCTCGAGTTTCTGAGCTGCAAGTCAGAGTTTAGTCTAGAGTCTCTGAGTCAAGTCTAGAGTCTCTGAGGTGCGAGTCCGAAACGAGTCTCGAGTTTTTTGGAATGTAAGTCCGAGTCGAGTCTCTGGGGTGCAAGTCCGAGTCGAGTGTTGAGTGTCCACGGTTCAAGTCACAGTCAAGTCTTGAGTCCTTGAGGGGTAAGGTCAAGTCTTGAGTCACTGGGATGTGAAGCCCAGTAGAGTTTGGGTCTCTAGGGTGCAAGCTGGGTGCAACATTAGTCTGAGTCAATGACTTGAGTCCCTATCTGTGTGAATAATCAAAGAGTGGAAATTTAATACCCCTCTATATGTTACACTGTTTGCCATCAGTTCATTCACAGTTTGCATCAGCCGACCACTAACCTTTCATCAACGGTCAGTTTCTGACTGCAGAGCCGCTCTTAGCTGGATATTAAAGTAGGCAGTACAAGGTAGGTGTTTCTAATAAAACGGCTGGTTAGAGGAATCGCATGGTAGGTGTTTCTAATAAAGTGGCCAGTGAGTGGAAGCACAATGTGGGTGTTTCTAATAAAATGGCCAGTGAGTGGAAGCACAATGTGGGTGTTTCTAATAAAGTGGCCAGTTAGTGAAAGCGCAAGGTAGATGTTTCTAATAAAATGGCCAGTTAGTGAAAGTGCAAGGTTGGTGTTTCTAATAAAGTGGCCGGTTAGTCGAAGTACAAGGTAGGTGTTTCTAATAATGTGGCCAGTCAGTGAAAGCGCAAGGTAGATGTTTCTAATAAAATGGCCAGTTAGTGAAAGTGCAAGGTTGGTGTTTCTAATAAAGTGGCCGGTTAGTCGAAGTACAAGGTGGGTGTTTCTAATAAAGTGGCCAATGAGTGGAAGCGCAATGTGGGTGTTTCTAATAAAATGGCCAGTTAGTGAGAGTGCAAGGTAGGTGTTTCTAATAAAGTGGCTGGTTAGTCGAAGTACAAGGTAGGCGTTTCTAATAAAGTGGCCAGTTAGTGGAAGCAAAAGGTAGGTGTTTCTAATAAAGTGGCCGGTTAGGAAGCCGTTTCAGCTCAGTGACAGAAGAGCTGTAAAAGTTCTGTATCATTATCTGATCTGAAAACAGGCCAAACCTCAATGACACTGAAATAGAGTTGAAGACTCAGAGCTCGAGATAATGACAGTGATTCAGTGCCAAAAGTACTCTGGAGCTTCTGGAACCCTCCGGAACGCTCTAGAACCTGGCAGAGAGAGCGGCGTCAGCGCAGTGTGGGGTTTGAGTCGTGCTGCTGTTCACATCTGGCAGGTGTGAGTGATACAGCACAGTGAGAACACACCCGTCACACAGAGTCACCAGACCTACTGCTAAATCTCTCTCTCTCTCTCTTCTCTCTCTCTCTATTCTCTCTCTCGCTAACTCTCTCTCGCTAACTCTCTCTCTCTCTCTCTCTCTCTCTCTGTCTCTCTCTCTCTGTGTTCTCTCTCTCCTTCTCTGTCTCTTGCTCTCTCCCTGTCTACCTCTCACTCCCTCACTCATTCTTTTCAGTTTCTTATGCTCTTTCTATCTGTCTCGCCCTCTCTCTCTCCCACCTCTTTCTTTCTCCCTCTGTCTCTTTCTTTCCCTCACTCTCCCTCTTTTTACTCTCCCTCCCTCTCTCACTCTATTCACTCTCTCCTGATTCTTTCTTATCTCTCCTTCCTTTTTCTTTCTCTCTGTCTCTCATTCTCTCTCTATCTCGCTCTAATCTCTTTGCTTTCTTTCTTCCCCGTCTCTCTCATCTTTGCTTTCTTTCTCATTCTGTGTCCTTCTTCTCTTTGCATCTCTCTCCTTCTCTATTGTCTCTCTCTCTCTATCTCTCTCTCCTTTCTCCCTCTCTCTGTCTCTCACTCTGACATGTGAAAGCTGTTTGTGTCTGAAGAGCTCTGCAGGGATCTGCGGAGAAGCTGAGACTCGCTGTTGTCTTTTTTCCTCCCTCTGTCTTTCTTTCTCTCTCTTCAGTTCAGTTCAGTATCAGGAGCAGCGCAGAACCCTTCAGCTTTAACCTTTACAACTACAGTCATTACCGTTGCTTTGCTGTTTAAACTGTTTAAAGCGATGGTTTGGCAGATACTCTGTTCAGCCCTTCTCTCTCTCCTCCCTTACAAATACAGTCCATCAGGCCAGGTGTGTTTTAGGTCTGAAGTTCGCTTCTTTCATTTTAGCACTGCAGCTATGCAGGTAAAAGTAATGGAAGCATATATCCCACCAATTAGCAGGATGCTAACACATATTGAAAAAATATATATCGCTGCAGTTGGATCAAAACCTTGTATCACCAAAATGGTAACTTTACAGGAGAAGGAAAAAACCTACTTTACTCTTAATGTAAGTCAATGGAACTGGATTTTTTCCAAGTCGACAAAAAAACCCGACAAAAATAGAGATACAAGGTTTTGTTCTGACAGCAGCAACATATTCCAAATATATTTATCAAATAGTGATCTGCACTGTACTTTACATTAACCATGTACGTCTGCAGTCAGACTCTCACACACAATGTATTTCACATAAACAAGATATCAGATCATAACTGCATTTTCACAGAGTATCAATACCCACAACACTCGCTTCTGTCCTGTTAAAGGATCATTAGATCAGATTTAAAATGAAGACACTGGAACACAAATTCATTTCTAAAGGTATCAGACAGTGAAGCGCATCAGACAGGATTTTCTAATAAAGTGGCCAGGTGTTTCTAATAAAATGGCCAGTTAATGGAAGCATTTCCACTAACAATTCATTTCAAAAGGTATCCAAACAATAAAGTGCATTAGACAGGACTTGGGCTATTTTCCAAAATTTTCAAATGTATTTGATAAACACATTTACATACGTTTATTTTTGTATAGTGTATTTCTACATTGGCAATATATTCTGAAATACATCTTAGTGTTTGGAATGTATTTCAGCGTGGACCGCAATGTATTTGAAATGTGTTTGAAATATACAAAAAATATATGTCCACACTCACCTCAGACCATGTGGAGGTGTTCAGCATCTCTGATAGACTTGATTGTGTGGTTTCTGACACTGTATGACTCACTGATACCTATAAACATGGACTAAAGTATATTAGCATAGCTACAAAGATCAGCAGCTGTTCTGAAGTCTGAATTTTGTCTGTGCAGCCATCAAAACACAGTGATGTCAAATTTCATGTAAATAAATGTTAAATTTAACATCATGGTGTTTTATGTATGGGTGCTCATTCCCAACCTTGTGTGATTACATTAGCTAACATTAATGGGTTGTAATGGATATCCTGGATGCTAGCTAGTTTCCTGACCAGCAATGGTAGCTAATGAGGTGGCTGTAAACCTGTTAATGACCCAATATTAACTATTATCACTGTTATCACTAATCAAACATTGATTCCACAGCAGACAGACAGCACACAAATAAAGACGGTCAGCTAGCATGGATAACCTAGGCTAGCACAGCTAATACGCTTGGTAATTACTTGGTAAAGACCAAGTTAGCTGTCATTAACATCATTATTTCAAATAAACTGTTTAATCCACATCTGTCTCTGTCCTCTGGGGGAATCGGTGAATATTATGGAAGCCGTTATAAGAGGCGAATATGTGCTGGGAAACTTATTTACCTCTGTATTAGCGTTAGCATTATAGGAGGGAGCAGGATAGACCAGTTTTTCATACCAGAGCACAACAGAATTGGCTTTTTCGCTTGTATTATTTTGGGACAGACATACATTTGGGGAATGTACACTGGGTTATTCATTAATTTAACATTTTTGGTCTTGACTCCAGATTTCTTGCTGACTCTGCACTCATTCTGAAACATGATTTTGAGGTTCAGTTAAGTTTTTACATTTTATGTAAACAGGTTTTATGTAATATTGTCATGTTTACATGCTATTTATTCAAGTTTAGTTAAATAAATGTTCTATATTTAATGGCTTAATGAATATGCTTATTTACAGGATTGGTCTAACAAACTAATACTGGTGTGTATTTGTCAATTTTTCAACTCTTTCTCTGCTCTCTCTGTTTCTCTCTCTCTCTCTCTGCAGGCTGTGTGTTTGTGATATGGACCGTTTGGGTCGTAATGAGTTTATCGGTGAGGTCCGAGTGGCTCTGAAGAAGCTGAAAGAGGGAGAAACCAAACGATACAACATGGGCTTAGAGAGAATCGCTCAGGTGCGTACACACGTGTGTCCATCGCACTGCAAAAAAGATCTCAGTAGGCGAGTTCAAGTGAAATCTACTCAATGGATCTATTATTTCTCATTATGAGATTGCTGTAAGAATATAAATAGATGTTATTTTACACATGTTTGTTTGTTTTTTACATTCTTTTTCTGTCTGTTTGTCTTCCAGACTCGAGAGGGCAACAACCAGACTGTGGATCAGAGCTCTCAGCTGGTGGAGGAGGAGGTAGGTGCATTGTGTTGGTGCTTCTGTATGAGTGTAAATCTAATAGAAATTTAAAATATAGTAAAAGGTCTTGTAACTGTGGTGTAGAGTCACTGAAGCAGCCGTCCCAGAAAGCATTGTAGCTTTGGTGTAGAGTCATCCAAGCTGTTGGCCCGGAAAGCCATGTAACCATGGTGTAGAGTCACTGAAGCAGCCGGCCAAGAAGGCCTTGAACCTGTGGTGTAAAGTCGCTCAAGGATTCGGCTAAGAAAGCCATGTAACTGTGGTGTAGAGTCACTGAAGCAGCCGGCCTGGAAAGCCTTGTAACTGTGGTGTAGAGTCACTGAAGCAGTCAGCCCGGAAAGCCATGTAACTGTGGTGTAGAGTCACTGAAGCAGTCGGCCCGGAAAGCTTTGTAACTGTGGTGTAGAGTCACTGAAGCAGTCGGCCCGGAAAGCTTTGTAACTGTGGTGTAGAGTCACTGAAACAGTCGGCCCGGAAAGCCATGTAACTGTGGTGTAGAGTCACTGAAGCAGTCGGCCCGGAAAGCTTTGTAACTGTGGTGTAGAGTCACTGAAGCAGTCAGCCCGGAAAGCCATGTAAATGTGGTGTAGAGTCACTGAAGCAGACGGCCCGGAAAGCCACGTAACTGTGGTGTAGAGTCACTGAAGCAGTCGGCCCGGAAAGCTTTGTAACTGTGGTGTAGAGTCACTGAAACAGTCGGCCCGGAAAGCCTTGTAACTGTGGTGTAGAGTCACTGAAACAGTCGGCCCGGAAAGCCACGTAACTGTGGTGTAGAGTCACTGAAGCAGTCGGCCCGGAAAGCCACGTAACTGTGGTGTAGAGTCACTGAAGCAGTCGGCCCGGAAAGCCTTGTAACTGTGGTGTAGAATCACTGAAGCAGTCGGCCCGGAAAGCCACGTAACTGTGGTGTAGAGTCACTGAAGCAGTCGGCCCGGAAAGCCTTGTAACTGTGGTGTAGAGTCACTGAAACAGTCGGCCCGGAAAGCCACGTAACTGTGGTGTAGAGTCACTGAAGCAGTCGGCCCGGAAAGCCTTGTAACTGTGGTGTAGAGTCACTGAAGCAGTCGGCCCGGAAAGCCACGTAACTGTGGTGTAGAGTCACTGAATCAGTCGGCCCGGAAAGCCTTGTAACTGTGGTGTAGAGTCACTGAAACAGTCGGCCCGGAAAGCCACGTAACTGTGGTGTAGAGTCACTGAAACAGTCGGCCCGGAAAGCCACGTAACTGTGGTGTAGAGTCACTGAAGCAGTCGGCCCGGAAAGCCACGTAACTGTGGTGTAGAGTCACTGAAGCAGTCGGCCCGGAAAGCCTTGTAACTGTGGTGTAGAGTCACTGAAGCAGTCGGCCCGGAAAGCCACGTAACTGTGGTGTAGAGTCACTGAAGCAGTCGGCCCGGAAAGCCTTGTAACTGTGGTGTAGAGTCACTGAAGCAGTCGGCCCGGAAAGCCTTGTAACTGTGGTGTAGAGTCACTGAAGCAGTCGGCCCGGAAAGCCTTGTAACTGTGGTGTAGAGTCACTGAAGCAGTCGGCCCGGAAAGCCACGTAACTGTGGTGTAGAGTCACTGAAGCAGTCGGCCCGGAAAGCCTTGTAACTGTGGTGTAGAGTCACTGAAGCAGTCGGCCCGGAAAGCCTTGTAACTGTGGTGTAGAGTCACTGAAGCAGTCGGCCCGGAAAGCCACGTAACTGTGGTGTAGAGTCACTGAAGCAGCCGGCCTGGAAAGCCTTGTAACTGTGGTGTAGAGTCACTGAAGCAGTCGGCCCGGAAAGCCATGTAACCGTGGTGTAGAGTCACTGAAGCAGTCGGCCTGGAAAGCCTTGTAACTGTGGTGTAGAGTCACTGAAGCAGTCGGCCCGGAAAGCCTCTGAATCATTAGCCAAAGTCACTCTTGGCCTCTATTTTGGTCAATACAATGGTCAACTCCTTGGCCAGCAAGGAAAGATCCACAATCATACACTCACAACATGAGTGATGAGCTGTTTAACAGGACTATGGCAAAAATGTATAAATATCATTGATTCATTTTTTCCTCCTCTCTCTCTCTGTCTCTCTCTCTGTCTCTCTCTCTCTCTCTCAGCGTGGTCGTATCCTGGTGTCTCTGTGTTATATTGTGGAGAAGACGTGTCTGGTGGTGGGAATTATCCGCTGCGCCCACCTCGCCGCCATGGACTCCAACGGCTACTCCGACCCGTTCGTAAAGATGTGAGTAACAGTGGAGTGATTCTATGACCAAAAATCAAACGTACCCAGGTCTCCTCCTTTACCTCAGATGTAGCTGATGAGCCGAGACCTGTTTGGTGTCTGAAGTTTGCTTCTTTAGCGCTGGAGCCGCAAGGCTGTGTGTCACAATGCCACTTTATGAGAAAGTGAAATCATAGCTGTATTTGCTTTGTATCAGTCAACATACATGCACAGTGGACCGTAGAGTTTGCAGTTTTGAGAAAGTAAATACATCAGAAATTTTAATGTTATCACAATCATGTTTTATCCCCCCAGAGAAGTGTGTTCGCTGTAAGCCTCTGCAATTAAAATCTAACTCTAACTGTAGATATCACAAGTACTTAAGCCTGGAAATAATTACTTGCAATCAGACGCAAAAACAGAAACCCCCCTCATGCTTAATGGACTGAAACCCTCCCCTTGTGCACAAAGCTGAAGTGACAGCATGTGAAGCAACTGAAAAGACTTGTTTCTCCACGGTCCCTTGAACATAGGATGGAAGACAGTCAGTGATAACTAAACAATGATTGAGATATATATATATATATATATATATATATATATATATATATATATATCATTGTTTAGTTATCTTCCATATATATATATATATATATATATGTTGAGGACAGTAATGAGCTCAAACCCCCCACTAGGCTTAATGTGACCGCAGTATTGCGGTAATGCGGATGCGGTTATCTGAGTGTTACGAGCTTCAACTTTTCACTACTGAATTAAAGGGGAACTCCACCAATTTTTCAAAATTACTTAATCATTCAATTGTTTAAATGTAAACAAAGTCATTCAGAGTAGTTTGGTGTGAAATGTTTTAGGCCGAAACTTCCCCTTCAAGTCGAACACAGCATTATACCCACCAATTAGCATGGTGCTAACTTGCATGCCTAAACCATTGCATGCGTTTTGCTCAGTGTTTTCTGCGCGGCCCACCAGTGTTTACGCAGAGTTTTAGACAAAGTTCCACTTATCATCACTCATTTTCCATTTACAGTCCAATTTACTGTTTTTTCTTCCTTCCTTTCTTTAGTTATATGTTGTAAATTAGTTCAGTAAATATTTTTAATCGAGCTCAGTGTCAGAAACATTTTCGATAAAATCATTTTATATCAGGCCTAGTCATTATTTTTTTTCTCTCAGTTGTTTGTAATATTTGTCCTTGTTTATTTTCTAAAATAAGAGTCTCTGTGGATTTAAAGTCTGTTTGAGGAGATTAAAAACTAGTTAGAGCTTGTTTGCAGGACAGTAATCTGGGTGGTCCGAGGGGGAACCAGCATTGGCAAACAGTCAGCGGGGTGTCGACCTTATCAAGCCAGCTTGCTATCTGGGTAGATAGGAGGAGCTATACGATGTTCAGAATTGACACCAACACTGTGGATTTACACTGTGTGTGTGAACGATGTTGTATTATCTTATAAAATAAACACACAGTACATATGAAACGTATGTCTTCTGGATTTGAGCCCTAATTAAAATCTAATCCAATGTTGCTTTAATCACCGACTGGCTAAATCTCCTTAATTCAGACTAGATTACAGCACTGCAATGCTAAAGCTAATTCCGCTAGGCTAGGCCAGGGCTTGCTCTGTCAGAACCGATGATCAAAGTGAGGGCAACCGTGTTCCCCCGGCGCCCGGGTGCCTCTGTCGGGGTCAGAGGTGCTGCTGTAGCAAAGAGACGTGAAATGTTCAGAGTGCTGCGGAGCCCCCCGTAGACCTGAGCCCCCCTCAGCTCAGCTCATGCTGGTGTTCCCGACTTCAGCGGGAAGCGCTTTTTAGTAGCTTTCTGCATCCTGAGGTGGATATATGTAGCACAGGTATAGCCGTGTGCATAAGTTCCATGTTTGTGTTGATTTTCTGAGTGTGAGTAAGTGAACACATCCTCCACAGAGACACACGTCTGCATATTTTAATAGACAGTTACTGTTTATTTGCTGATTTTAATATAATGGGAGAAATAAAGTATTAAATTTGGCCTGTGCAAAAGTTATGGCACGTTTGATGTTACATTTCATTTTTTTCTAATACGTTAACGGCCCCCGGTGGAGGAGTTTAAGTATCTCAGGGTCTTGTTGACGAGTGATGGGAAGAGGGATGGTGAGGTTGGCCGCAGGCTGGGACAGGCAGCAGCAGTAATGTGGTCACTGTACTGGACTGTAGTGGTGAATAAGGAGCTGAGCCATTAGGCAAAGCTCTCTGTTTACCGGTCGGTCTACATCCTGACCCTCACCTGTGGTCATGAGCTTTGGGTAATGACCAAAAGAATATGATCGTGGATATAAGTGGTGGAAATGAGCCTCTTCGCACGGTGGCGGCTACACTCTACTGACAGGGTGAGGAGCTCAGTCATCGAAGAGGAGCTCAGAGTTGAGCCACTACTCCTCCACACTGAGAGGAGCCAGTTGAGGTGGTTCAGGCATCTGATCAGGATGCCCCACTGGACGCCTCCCGGTGGAGGTTTACCAGGCACAGGTGACTAGGACGAGACCCTGAGGTGGTCCTTATATCTCCAAGTTGGCCTGGGAGCGGTTCAGGGTCCCCTGGAATGAGGTGGAGGAAGTTGTGGAGGACAGGGTCGTCTGGGATTCTCTGCTCCTCCAACTGCTACCACAACCCTATCTGGATTAAGCAGCTAAAGATGATTAATGAATGAATGAATATTTAATTCAGCAAATAAAAAGAAATTTGCAGAAGTACTCATGTGTGAGCAACAGAGCAACAGGCAACCAGTCGTTTCTGGTGCCTGTTGATGATCCGTATCTGCGACCAGCTGTAACAGCATGAACTGTTGTCAGTAGTTACTGCTGATTCGGACGCGGCAAGTTGATTCACCTGATAATGAGCACAAAATGTCAAGAGGTTAAGCTGAGCATCCAACAGAACGCTCCAAATTTGACATTTATATAGCAGAGCAACCTTTTATCCCCATAGAAAACAAACAAATTGGCAAGCAAGCATTCAGATCAAACATATAGATTAGATTTAACCAGAGCCCTTATCTCTAAAGAAGTCCATAAATCCCTCAGAGAGATTTCCGTTCAACTAATCCAGTAGTAAAACAGGGAAACAACAAAATCAGAATGTAAACAAAACACCAAACTGTCCAGTAAAATAGTAAACACAGCCTTCCTGTAAATAAGTCAGATCATTTACACAAAATGTTTAATTGAGTGCTTAACGCAGGTTGAGTGCATAGCTGCCTTCACAACTTCAGCTACAGACCTGACACATCAGAACACTCAGCAGACCCGGCCCTTCCTAGCCAGCATGAGCCCACTGAGTGTGACTTCAGCATCAGTGAGTGATCTGGCTTAAAACACCACCCAAAATCCTGATTTTAGCTCTGTGCTTTTAGCCTTCATATTATAACAAAGGGTTAAAAACAACAACATCATATGCATATCAGAGCACTCAGCAGGCCCAGCCCTCACTGACCAGCATGACTTTATCCAGCTAACAGCAAGCATCAGCCAGCAGTCCAGCTCCAAATATTGCCCGAAATCCACTCGCTGCCGTTATATTAGCTCTCTGTTAGCTTTTAGCCTTCATATTATAACAAAGGGTTAAAAGAGTGGCATGATCCACTCATAAGAAACGTTTTTAAAAGTTCTGAACAATTAAAATAAAGCCTGTTTTGCTGTGTATCAGAGTTTTAACACTCGGCATGAATCCCAGAGGACAGAAAATCAATAAAAAATTGCCAAATTCATAAAGATATCACAATCCTGTTACCGTTTACATGGCAAATAATGGCCTATCTGAGCAGCCCAGGGTCTCCTGAAAATAACATGTCTCATGTAAATACTTCATAACTGTAATTGAAATTGACCAAAGTACCAAAACAGAAACACTATATAAGCCACCCAACAGGTTCTGTTATGTGTCAGAGTCACAAAGCAATACGAGACACGGTGCTTTAGCGCTGAGACACTAATCGAGGTTAGATTTTCACAGTTTGGCTTATTTAAAGAAACAATGTCTGAATCAGTGAAACGTTTAAAAGTAGGTGTTTCTCAGCCACACTGAACACCAAAACCAAACACAGTGGCTGAATCGCGCTGCGCTGCGTTGTCAGGTCTGTTTTTAGCTTGGTGACGAACTTTAGCCGTGTTTCTAGATAACAGTGTGTCATACAGTGTCTGATTACTGAGCAACGCCACCGACGCTCACACTGAGCTTCACCTGCAGGACAAGTGAGCAGCTGGAGTCAGACAGCATACGGTCAGCAGAGCCACCACACTGAGAGTGTAATGGAAATAATAGACCATCACGGCTGGAGTGACCCATTCACAGAGAGAGAGAGAGAGAGAGAGAGAGAGACAGAGAGACAGAGAGAGAGAGAGAGAGAGAGAGAGAGAGAGAGAGAGAGAGAGAGAGAACAAAGAAAGATAGAACAGGAAGGAAAGAGAGAGAGATAGAGACAGACAGAGAGAGAGAGAGAGAGAGAGAGAGAGAGAGAGAGAGAGAACAAAGAAAGAGAACAAAGAAAGAGAGCAGGAAGGAAAGAGAGAGAGAGAGAAAACAAAGAAAGATAAAGCAGGAAGGAAAGAGAGAGAATTAGAGAAGAGAGAGCACAAAGAAAGATGGAGCAGGAAGGAAAGAGAGAGAGAGAGAGAGCACAAAGAAAGATAGAGCAGGATAGAAAGAGAGGAAAAGAGAGTTAGAGAAGAGAGAGAACAAGGAAAGATGGAGCAGGAAAGAAAGAGAGAGAGAGAAAGAGAACAAGGAAAGATGGAGCAGGAAAGAAAGAAAGAGAGAGAGAGAGAGAGAGAGAGAGAACAAAGAAAGATGGAGCAGGAAGGAAAGAGAGAGAGAGAGTTAGAGAAGAGAGAGAAAAGAGAGAGTTAGAAAAAATAGTGATAGAGAGGAGAAAGGAAGAAATGAGAGTGGAGAGAAGAGAGAGAAAGATAAAGAATGTGAAAAAAGAGATGAAAGGAGAGAGATTCCTGAGGAAGGAAGTGAGAGAAG